ATGAAGGAAGCACTTCCTGCACTCTGAGCACTGATGTGGTTTCTTCTTTGTATGGATGAGCTGGTGCCGTGACAGGTCAAAAGATCGGGTGAAACTCTTCCCACACTCCGAGCACTGATGTGGCTTCTCCCCCATGTGGGTGAACCAGTGTTTGGTCAGGCTGGACAACAGGATGAAGCTCTTCCCACACTGGGAGCACTGATGTGGCTTCTCCCCTATGTGGATAAGCTGGTGCTGGACCAGATTGGAGGAACGGTTGAAGCTCTTCCCACACTCCGAGCACCGATGTGGCTTCTCCCCTGTGTGAATAAGCTGGTGTTGGGCCAGAGTACAGGATCGGTTGAAGCTTTTCCCACACTCTGAGCACTGATGTGGCTTCTCTCCCGTATGGATGAGCTGGTGCTTGGTCAGTTGGCAGGATTGGGTGAAGCATTTCCCACACTCCGAGCACCGATGTGGCTTCTCCCCCGTGTGGATAAGCTGGTGCCGGACCAGGGAGGAAGACAGAGTGAAGCTCTTCCCACACTCAGAGCACTGATATGGCTTCTCCCCCGTGTGGACAAGCTGGTGCCGGGCCAGGTTAGAGGATCGTTTGAAGCTTTTCCCACACACCGAACACTGATATGGTTTCTCCCCCATGTGGACAATCCAGTGTTGGATCAGGTAGGAGGATTGTGCAAAGCTCTTCCCACACTCAGAGCACCGATGCGGCTTTTCCCCCGTGTGAATAAGCTTGTGCTGCGACAGGGCAGAGGAGTGGGTGAAGCTCTTCCCACACTCTGAGCACCGATGGGGCTTCTGTCCTGTGTGGATACGCTTGTGCTGACCCAGGGCAGAGGAGTGGGTAAAGCTCTTCCCACACTCCGAGCACTGATGTGGCTTCTCCCCTGTGTGGATAAGCTGGTGCTGGGCCAGGTAGGTGGATCGGGTGAAGCTTTTACCACACTCTGAGCAGTGATATGGTTTTTCCCCCTGGTGGACGAGCCAGTGCTTGGTCAGGTAGGAGGATTGTGCAAAGCTCTTCCCACACTCAGAGCACTGATGTGGCTTCTCCCCCATGTGGATAAGCTGGTGCAGGCCCAGAGCAGAGGATCGGGTGAAGCTCTTCCCACACTCCAAGCATCGATGTGGCTTCTCCCCTGTGTGAATAAGCTTGTGCTGAGCGAGGCCGGAGGAGTGGGTGAAGCTCTTCCCACACTCTGAGCACCTATGTGGCTTCTCTCCTGTGTGGATAAGTTGGTGCCGGACCAGGTAGGTGTATTGGGTGAAGCTTTTCCTACACTTCAGACATCGATATGGTTTCTCCCCTGGGTGGACTAGCTGATGCCAGGCAAGGCTAGAGGATTGTCTGAAGTTTTTCCCTGCCCCTTCTCCACTCTCACACTCAACCAGAGATGGTACCTGGTTCTTTGCTATGTTCTTCTTCTGCTTTTGGGGCCTCTCCTGACTCTTGTACCGTTGCTCCTTCTCAGGTCTCAGGTAATCCATCTCATTGAAGTTCCCTGGGGAATTCTGTATTGCAGACCCTTCCACAGGATGCTGATCCTCAGCTCTGCTCAACAGCCAGGCACTTCCTGCATAGGGAAGGGAAACTCCAAATTAGTCCCTACCCTGCTGGCAAAGGGCACACACTGCTAATCCTTCTGTTGGGATGGGCTTTAAAGCAGGCGTGGACCTTCCCATTTGTGTTGTCTCAAGAAAGCAAGGTCTTCCTGCCAAAACCCCAAGTGTTGGGGGTGAGGGAGGGGCAGGTCCCCGTGCTGAGCTAATGTTCCCTACTCAGTGGAGTTCAGAGCCAGACTGAGTTTCTGGCCCTGTCGTCCGTACCCTGTTGTCTGTACCATGCCCCCATGGAGCTTTCCTCTGCTCATGGGTCCCAGGCAGCCTCCACATCACAGCAGTCTTCAAAAGGTCTTAAGTCTTGGCATAAACCTGAACCTAGACTCTCTGCTGAGTCTCAGGCTTCGTGACACTGAAGGCCCCAGAGAGGAAACAAGAAGGGGGCAATTCTCATGCATACCATGGGGAATACACTTCCCCCACAACCTGAAATCTTGTGAATCCCATCCATGCCATGGAGCCATTTAATGTAGCCTGAAACCATGCTGAAACTCTTCCTGGGTTCCAGGTCCACCTCAACAGAAGCACAGCTTCTCAGCTTCTCAGAAGCACAGACAGCCTCAGCTTCTTTCTTGTCCAACAGGAATGGCTACACAGAGTCTCCGTATATCATACTGATTTCAGCTGGGGACTACAAATCCCATCATACCCTAGGAGAGCGTGTTAGAGAGGTATGGCTACCTTGAGCTGGGGAACGAACTCTTACATTGCTGAGTGAAGAAACTTAAGATCATGGCAGCCCAGGGAAACCATATATGAGATGAAAAATCAAGACAGCAAACCTGATTATCCCCTAACATTTGTCATTAGATGGAGAAGAAGGGAACAGCTTCTTGTCTCCACATCACTGAACATCTGAGAGTGGGAACAACAACCTGCCTGGACGCATAACAGCAGGAGTGGGGAAAATACAGGCCGCAGGACTGATCCGACCTGCAGAGGACTTTTGTCTGGCCCGCGGCAGGTTCCTGGGTTCTGCCTGGCCGAGGCATGGCCCAGCTGTGGCACGTCCTGCTACCCTCTGGGCATGCAGTGAGGCAGGCGCGGCTCTGTAGTTGGGTTGTATTTCTAGGCAGTCTGAGCGGCAGCTACTCCTTTTGGCTGCCACCAGCCCCATGGTAGCAACAGCACACACAGCCCTGACCCCATGCCCCCCATGCCAGCTGCAGGCTCGCCTGTTCGGATTGGGCAGAGGCAGCACAGGAGAGAAACTGCTGCTCAGCGTGGGGAAAAGGCAGCCCCTCCCACTCTTGTCGCTGGTGCTTCCAGGGCTGCCAAGTCTCCACTGCATCACCACCACCTCCGAGCTGCCCAGGGGAGCAGCCGTGGCAGCACAGAGCAGAAGCAGGGTGGCCCAACATGAGCTCCAGGTGGTTGCACCAGAAAGCACCAGCAGTGGGACTGGGAGGGGCTGGTTTTAGCCTGTGCTGAGCAGAAGTTTCTGTCCCATGCTGCTACTGATGAGCCTGGGCTGCAGCGCCAGTTCTGGGCTTGCTCCTTTGGGCTGAGCAGCAACAGCAGCAGCAGGAGGAAGAAACTGTTGGTCATTGTGAGCCAGAAGTGGTTTCTTTGCCTTGTTGCCACTAGGCAGTTTTTGGTGTGGCCGCCTAGACCTTGCGCCGTGCCAGGCTGCCCTGCAGCTATGTCACCACCACCTCTGGGCTGCCCTGCTTCTGCCTCACTGCTGCTGCTGCCCAGCCCAGAGGGAAAAACCCAGAACTGGCACGGGACACGTGGGGTTGGGGCTGCAAGCGCTGATCCCTATGCAACTGCAGAGCTAGGAGCAGTAGCGTCAGCAGCCGGAAGGAGCTATGCAAGCCACGCTGCATGCCCAGGGGTGGTAGAATGCTACAAGGCCAGGCAGAACGGGCACGGCCCGTGCTGGGGCTGCACACTGTTGGCAGTGGGAGGGGAGGGGAGGGACTGCAGGGTGTACAGGCTCTGGGCTGTTGTGGGGTGAGGGTTCCCATGCACACCCCACATACCCTTGAACCCACCCCTGCAAACCCCACAACCACCCCCCCCACACACACAATAACATATGTCACAAGTACCACATCTACACATACCCACCCCCCACATGCCCCCACACTCTCACCTGCATGTCTCCAGGAGAAGCCCCGCTCACTGCTACACGCACACACCACACAGAGCCCACAGCCCCCCATACCCACCCACACACCCCCAAACTCCACTCACATGCACACACCCACACACGCCCCCAGCGACCCTCCCCATCCACATCTCCCACATACCCCCATACCCACGCACACATCCACACATACCCCAACACCACACAGCACCCTGGAACGGTGGCACAGGGCAGCCCTGCAGCTGGAGGGCATGGGGCTTTACTGACAGCAGTCGGGTGGAGGGGACAGCTACAGCTCACCTGACAGCAGGTCCTCTGATCTTGAGATTTCTCCATGGTCCTCATCATCACAGACCCAGAGCTCCACCTGTCCTTGCTGGATGCTGCAGATTAGGGCAGGTGTGAGACCTCGATATCCTGTTTGGGCAGTTGTTAAAGAGCGTTTGTGACTGGGTACTGGATGCAGAATAACTACCTGAGATTTGGGGAATGGATCCAATGCACTCAAGGTGTCTACTACAGCCTGAATGGACAAGGGAGAATGGGCATTTAAGGTGAAAGAGATGGCACTGCAGCAACAGGCCTTCAAGAGATAATGGTCCTTGTCACCCAAGGATGGATAACTTTTATCTTGTCAGTGGAATTCCAGGAAAAGAAGTGGAAATGAGCTTACTCTCAGTGAAGGTTTAAAGTGAGGACTTGAGGCAGTGGAAAGAGTACCTGACAGGTAGCTGACAATGAAACTTTTTCCTGGGAGACAGAGTCATGCATCATCACCAGGACCACAAAAAGATGATTTCCTGATAACTGTAGCTGCAACTGAGCAATCATCCCATCCACTGGGAGGATCATACCAGGAGGGGAGATGAGTGCACAGGTTGGCAAGTACTGCAGGGTTTAACACAAAGATCCTGGCAGTCATGGATATGGACAAAGGCAGGCTGAAGGAGAGACATTTCACAGCATGTGAAAGGCCATAATATAGAAATGGTCTATATGGTCTTTGTTGAGCTCAAGAAAACACTGAAGAACTTTCCTAAGAAAATCTTCTGGGGGAAAGGGAGGGAAAAGAAAGCATCACAAAAGTAAACTGACCTAGTAAAAGTAAGTACCTCAACCCTACTCACAAGCCAGAACAAGCCCCTGTTCTGGATATCCTCTGGAAATGAAAACATGTTTTTACTAGGTCCTGCAGCTAGCCCACTTCTTTTTTATCACAATGATGGATGGGCATCTGATCTAGAGAGAGATTTTAGCAAGACCATAAGAAAACTTGAGAATGGCAGCGGGAACTTGAGAGCACAGGTCTTAACAAAAATACAACAAATGAGTTGAGGAATTGCACCATCCCCTTGTTGTAGCAGCAGAGACTGACAAGACTTTCTATTAATTTCTCCTGGATCTTAACGAGAGGTGAAAGGGGATTTAGATATCACAGAGCCGAGCAGGATAGGGTTGTTAAACGTGTTTGGAGAGGACACACTAGGCCAGACCAGGAGGAAATCAGAATTATTCCCCAAAGAACAACTTTAGAGCATTTATGTACAATGAACTGGAGATGATATGAACACAGTGAAAAGGGAAAGGGAGATCATATTGCCAAGTAACTGCTGCATCTAGAAGAACCAGGAGTTACACGAATGGGGAAGATACAAGTGAAGCTGGTTGGATCAAATGAAGGCAGACATATCAGTATGAAATGTGAGAGTGGTCTGATCACTGACAGAGGAGTGGGGAGGAGGTGGATTTAAACCTGCAGGCAAAGTTCACATGGATGAGACTGGTGATACAGGGAGATGACTATAAAACTTGAGTGTTCACATAGCTACAGGGAGAAGCAAGAACCAGATCTTTACCCAGGGAAACAAGAGCTTGGTAATTCTTCAGCATCTGGTCCTGGTAAAGCACCTTGTCTTCATCTTCCAGCAGCTCCCACTCCTTCTGTGTGAAATACACAGCTACATCCTCAAACGCCTCCCGGACCTGCAGTAAAACATGTTACGCCATCAGTATCTCCTGTTCCGGCTGCTTCCAGCCCCTACAGCCCTGTCTAGAATCACTCCGTTCTGCAACTAATTGCAATCTCAGCCATGACAGGTAAACGTGCACAGCTCCCCAGTCTTCAGCTGAAATGTGATGTGGATGCAGCTGTGGACGCAGGAGTTCATGTGTCAGCTCTAACCTAGCTCATCGCGTTTTATTTGCTTGGGCATGCAGGCAGGGGATTGTGGCCCTGCCCCAGCTCATTGCAGCGGTAAAAGCCTGGTCTGAAGCAGAGGCAGAGCCGCAATCCCCTGCCGGGAGCATGCAGGCTATAGATCAAAGCTCTGCCCTGGTTCTGGAGAATGCTGTCAGCATCGCAAGATCCCAGGGGCTCCTGAGCAGCCCCGTCCTGCCAGCATGGCTGGGGCTGGTCTCCGTGGCAACCCCAGCCTAGTTTTCACAGCACAGCTGTGGCTGGGGTCTCCATGCAGACTGGTCCCTGCCATGTGGGCAGGGGCTGCTGGGAAATGGAGTCCAGCTGCCGACCGGATCAGCTATTTTGCTCACCCCTGTGCTATAGCCATCTTGGTGTGTTGGCAGCCTCAATCACCACAGGCTTGATGCTCTTCAGGTCTCTCCACTCCCCAAATTCTTTACAGCACTCCTGGCTCCTCTTGTGCTCCCCGCAACTGTACTTCCAAACCCACCTGAACCGGGTGCCCTGCTTACCTGCTTTGGAGGCCTGCCCTGCCGCTTCTGCACTTGGCCTGGCTCAAGCATCATGGAGCTCCTCTCCTCCAATCTCCCTGGGGAAATGTTCTGCAGCTCCAGCTTTACAGGCCCCTCCTTGGGAGCCTGCTGCTCAGCTCCACTCACAGTCCCAGCACCTACAGGGTAGGGAAGACAATGTACAGGTTAGCCCTGGTGCTGCTGATGTGGGGAATATCCTGATAGCCCCCTGGACTGGCTTGGGACTAAGGCAAATGGACGCTTCAGCGTGGAAGAGGGGGCAGAAGGAAGAATCAAAATCCCCCAGCTCTGTCTAACAGACCTCCTCAGGTATGTAGCAGGAGATAAGCCCCAAGAACTCTGTTCCAGAGTGGGGTGGTGATCACAGCACCATGTCAGAGCCTGCAGGGACATCACTCCCTGGCAAAGAAGCTCGAGGGATGTTGGAGCTGTATCAGCAGCACATATTAAGGGTGGGGGAGGGAAAATGCAAGGTCAGTCTTCTCAAGGGCATGTGAAATGATTCCAGGCCTGCTAGGAGATCAAGAACTGCTCATCTGTGGGGCACTGACCCCATCAAAATGGTCTGCAAGAAAGCCTTCTCCACTGAGGGATGGTGCCTCCTGCTGCTGAAAAGGGGCAACCACCGCTACTTACCTGCTCCTGGGATAGGGCCTTGTCTGGGACACCACCCTGAGGAGCTTTCAACTACTGACAGGTCCTGGGTCCCCTTGGTTTCAGGGGACTCTGCAGCAGGACAGAGCCCTGGGTTAGTTGTACTGGAACCAGCGAGAGGCCACTGGGAAGTCTCATTTCCCTGTCACCTGCACCAGCCCTTTATCAGGCACAGGGGACTCACGGGGGCATGAGAAAGGGACCAATGAACGTGGACTGTCGGAATGTGAAACATAATCACTGATTATGACCATGGCAGCACGACAAGGCCCAAGCAAGACAAAGCCTCTCTGTGCTGGGTGCTGCACACACACTGTGAGGAAGATCAGGGACCCCAGCCTGGGAGCTGCTCATTCACAGGGACCACAGCTCTGTCCCCGCCCAGCCATGTAATTACAAACCTTGAAGCCCTGTCATGGGCAGGGGCAGATATTCAAGCCTCTCCTCCTGCACGCAGGGCAGACACTCGGGCACCCAAACCCGTGTGGAGGCCTCTACCCTATAACTCACTTGACTTCTGGTAGGGCAGGGGCTCTTCTTGGGGGGCGTCAGGTGGCTTGTCCAGAGGACTTGGGATTTTCATCTCTCCTGACTCTTCCAGAGGCCTGTCCGCACAATGGGCGTTTGGCTGCTCTAGCCAGGAATGACCAGGTTTCTGCAGTGTCCCAGTGGGCTGCATCTTGTCTGAGGACAGTTCCTCCACCATCCCACTCACTGTAACCTGGGGATCAGATAAACATGTCACTGGGGAGCCAGGAT